GCCTGAAAACCCGGCGGGCAGATGTCAACTAGTGGAACTCCACCCTCTACGCCCAGCCAGGTCTCAGTAATACCTGCCAGGTCCGCGCCCCCCTCCAGAATAAGATCCTGTATGAGGGGGGCCTTATTTACCACGGACCTGGCATTACATAGCATCAGCCGAAGGTCCCGGGCCGGAGGGTCTAAGTCTCCCGGGAACCCATACCCCACAAGGAACAAAAAAAAAAAGCTTTTTCTACGGATTCTGAATGGTAAATAGGCTGCCAGATATAAATATGTCCAGATATATGCCCACAAGTACAAGTTCATTCTCTTGCACGCTTTCTTTCTCTCCATTGCACATATGCATATCCACATGCCACACACTTTCTTTCACATAGATGACACTCTTGCAAACAAATGTTTGCCATATCCTGTTCAGGGACTGTCACTGTCCTGGTGACAAAGACTCCATTATAATCTTGGGCCCTCAGGGTAACAAAAGAGCCACTTCCCAGCCATGGCTCAGGGGGGATGTAGGCTCCTGGGCTCCTCATATGTCACCCTGGGAAACCGTCTGGGACAGAGTGGCACTGCTCCCAGGCTATCACCACGGCAACCCAAGGGTCCAGCCAAAGGCAGCAGGGGAAGGTTCAGAAAAGCAGGCCATGAGATGGGCAAAAAGGAGCCAGTTCCTTAATGGCAGCTGTGAGAAGGTGGAAAAGGGCAAATCCGACATGGGAAATCAAGGGAAGCCCCTTCCCCCAAGGTTAAGGACTTCTGAGGATTTAAGGAGGTGGAATCTTCTAAAAGAAGTCTAAGGATGATTGTTCCATCACAGATTCGCAGACGTGTGCTGATATACATATGTGACACACACATATACTCACATACACACAGCAGGAAAACCGCTGTGTCAATTACGTAAGCAGCTTTACTGACCTGCCCGGCTGTGTCACAGAGCTGAAGCCTCACTGGTCGGCCATCTACAGACACGACAGCTGAAATGGAAGGAAGGGGAGAGTCAGAAAAACTTTTAACTGTGAATTAAGGATTACCTCTGTCCTCACATTAATCATTTACCTTTGGGTCAGTTTGTGGTTAACAGCCACAAGTCAGCTTCTTCTCCCCAGCCTCCCCCCTATTCTCAACAATTCCTGGGTTTACACAAGCCCTTTAGGGCTTCCGGCTTTCCTTACGAAGCAGAAAATTGTGACCAAAAGACATTTGCCTCATACAAAGAGAGTTGTCCCAAACACAAATGAGGATTTTGCCCCGCAAACATCCTCTAAACATGCTTGAAGATTGATTTTGGGGGGAGGAGGACCAGGCTCTGCTTTAAAAGCATATAGACTAGGGAATCCTTCCCCAGTGCTTTAAATCACAAAGAAGACAATACAAATATTTACATATTTCCCCTGTGGAGAAATCATCTCTTCTCATTCTGTTTCTTCCTTGTGGATTAGGTTGAAGTCTGTTTCCCCCCCCCACACACACACACCCATTATACAAGGTAAAGCCCCTCTCTGAGAGAGATGGATGGTTAAGAAATATGATTAATTGATAATAAATAAATAAATGTTGCTTTTGATTAAGCACTAGAGATAACCTTTATTTTCATTACTTTATTGTCACTACTCTATCAATCTGCAACACTGATAGCAAAATTGTGCCCTTCAGGTGTTTAGAACACCAGTTTACTATAAGCATAAGGCAATAAATGTGAAGTCTCAAAAACTGTAACAAAATCAAATACTTCATTGGTTATTATAACAAACCGTAATAATAGCAAACTATATACACTAGTGATTATACAATATTTTTAAAAAAATCAAATACACTACAGTGATTAAAACAAACATTTAAAAAAATGAATACAAAAGGCAAATCTTCCATTGTAGAACCACAAGTTTGCAAAAACCCAGATAAGCTTATTTGGGAGTCAATTTCACTAAATTCAAGGGAACACATTTTGAAGTAAACTTAGATTGGTTTACAGGTCTTGCACAAATAGGACAATTTAGAGAGAGATAATCAACTCATATTTTGTATTAAAACAAAAATCCTTGCATTTTGACACCAGGTTAATGCAAGAGTGTGTGGTCCTGTAATGCTGGCTGGAAAAACATGTTCTTGCACCCAATGAAATTCATACAAAACTCCCACAGTTGGAGGAGCCCTGTGTTTACTGTTCAGTGTTTGCTTTCAAGCACATAAAAACTCTTCAAACCTTACAGAAAAGATTCAACTAATATAGATACTGCCCTCAAGGAACCATCTTTTTGGGGAAAAGTCAAGTAACAATGAATATCTTCTTCCAAAGAGAAGCATGATGAGCCAGTGTTTTCTAGCTTAGACAGAAGGACAGTTTTCCCCCCATGCCATCACTCTACTAAACAACTATGGTAATTCCCACAACACTGTCAAATTACCCAGTAGGGCTGTATTACTATTATCCTTCTCATCTTTCCTATTATTTATTTCCTTATCTTCTTATGACTATAACTTTGTTGCTTGTATCTTACAATTTATATTGTTTTATTTAGTATTCTAGTATGATTTATGTTGATTGCTTATTTAGTGTTCTCTGACTATCACTGAATGTTGTACCTTATGATTTATGATGAATGTATTTTATGATGATTATGATCACGATTTATCACTTATTGCTTGTATATACACTGAGAGCTTATGCACCGGGAGACAAATTCCTTGTGCGTCCAATCACACTTGGCCAATAAAGAATTCTAATTCAGAGCACCACCCTTTTCTTAAATATTAGGGAAGTTGTCAAGAAGAATGTAATTACAAACATTCACAAAGTGCACAGCAGAAAGCTCTCTCTCTCCACAATGGTTTTCAAGAAAAATAAAAGGAAGTCTGAAGTAACCTGCTGGGAAGAAGGATGAGTAGGAGTTACCCCCTGTCTTAAGGGATAAGGATTATGAGTGAGCCCAAAGGATTTCCAAAGCAACAGAGAAGTGCAATATTGTAGAAAATAAGGAATAAGAAATCCAAGGCTAGAGAACAGAGTGTAATTTCCCTGACCCTGAGATAACAGAATAACACAGTTGGACAGTCTAATGCAACTCCCTTGCCATATAAATAGATAAACCAAACTATGCCAACACCCCAAAATTACTAAGCTCTATATGCTGTATCTCACAGCACTCCCTCCAGAGTAAGCCTTAGCAACATTCCTAAAGATTCTGATTTTAATGCAGTTAACAAGTTACTAGTCCTCATCACCAGGACTACTGGAAAAATATGGCAGAGAAGGATCACATATTCCAAAATGAACTAAACAAAAAGAACACATTTTTTTTTAAAATGCTACAGGGACAATAAATTCCCTGAATGCACCGAATAAAGCTTCCCAATAAAACATAGGAAACACAGTGCTACCCTTATAGTTTTAACAACTGCAAGAGGCATATACACCTGGCAACAAATAAAAGATGCCCAGGATTCAACATAGTATTTTATATGAATAAACAAAGAGCTCGCTACACAACTGGGTATGGAAAACTAGCCGCCTGTGTTCGATTCTTTTTAACTACTGGATCGACCACAGTAAAGGTCAGAAACGGGCTTGCCCGCCCTTAAAGGAGAAGGAAGGCACCGTCTGTACATTCTTCCTTCTCACAAAAAGGTTGGACAAGCGACTATCGGAGCTGATGTCTTCTTCAGTCACAGAGATTGGGTTGTATTTTCCCCCACTACTACTCCCCGCAGGGATTTTACGAGGTGATTTACGATTGACCCCGCCCCAATCGCAATTGGGGATCGATCCGTTTCGTTGGTCTGCAAGCCCTTCTTCCCAGCACTCCCCCCCTCCGCTAGGAAACCGCGATCAGGCCAGGCCAGGGGTAGGCAACCTTGGCTCTTTTATGACTCGTGGACTTCAACTCCCAGAATTCCTGAGCCAGCACGGCTGGCTCAGGAATTCTGGGAGTTGAAGTCCACGAGTCATAAAAGAGCCAAGGTTGCCTACCCCTGGGCCAGGCCAACCTTCGCTTCCACGCGCACCTACTTCAGTCAGCGGGCACCGCCCCTTCCCAAGTTGGAAGATTCAAAATCCACAAGAGGAGACGCCGCCGAGTCAATAGGGCGAGGGATCGATCCCCGGTCCCCGGACAGCAATGAGGTCGGAAGTGACCAGAGGAACGGAGAGCCGATCAGGTGCATTAAATGCTTCCGTGAAAACCCACCAGGAACCGTCCCAAGCGGCTGATTTACCTGAGAAATTGTCGAAGGCGGTCGGGATGTATTCCGTCGGGTAGCCGTTGGTGGTGTAACTCACCACCAGGCTGGTTTTACCCACCGCGCCGTCTCCCACCAGCACACACTTGATGCTGCGCCGAGGCTCCGCTCCGATCGCCCCGGCCCCTCCGCTAGCTCCAGCCCGGCAGCGGCTCCCCAAGGCAGCCCCCAGCGCCGCCGCTCGGCTGCTGCGGACCCGACGCGGAGGCACCGGAGGCACTTCGCAGCCGCCCGGCAGCGGCTTGCTGATGTAGCCGGTTTCTCCTTCTTGCTGCGGCGGCATCCGCCCGGCTCCGGTGCGGGAGACCCCCAAAGACAACGGGATCCGCCGAGCCACAGCCGCGGAAGGCAGCGGCGAGGGGCGTCGGGAAGCAATCGGGGCAGGGGGGACCCGCCTTGCTGGAGAAGAGCTTTTCCAGATCCGAGCGCCGGGCTTCCTTCTTCCCGATCTCTTCCCGATCTCTCAGAAGACGTGCGATCCCGCTCCTTCAGCAGCAGCAGCAGCAGCAGCAGCCGTCTTTGCTCGCGGGAAGACTACAGCAGCCAAGCGCTCGATCTGCCGCCAGATGACATAATCCCGAAGAAGACTGAGAAAACGAGCCAAAGAGGGCGGGGCAGCCTAGGACGGGCGGGGCTTGGTGGAGAGAGGGACTTGCCGGCAGGGGGCGCTCCACCGCAGCTCGCCCCGCTCGACCGGGGCGAAAGCGCGAAGAGGAGGCGACGTTTCTGGCCGGCGTGGAATCAATCTCGGAGTGTAATCTGGCGCTTCCCATTGGCCAATCTGCTTCTTTTCGAACGCTGACGACAATTGGGTATCTCCTTTGGCTGGACATTGGAACAAGGCCACGTAAACCACGCCGCCTGCGGAGGCGTAGCCCGATCTGTTCGTTCCAGTCTTTTAAAAAA